GCGCCACTTGAAAAAGACAGTTTTCTCAGCTCGTAATGAACCGATTCAAAAAATTTTTGTGTCAGAACATTCCTTATTGGACACGCAACAACTTCCTTGGTCTAACTAAAATTTGGTATGGGGCCTGGTGAGTGGCCCTTTGAAAGGCTGCGGTGACAAGAAAATGACGTTGCCTACTTGGGTACTTTTTGACTACTCTGTACTGGCACTGACATTAACAGCTAATATACGCTAAAGCCATCACTCGGTAACCCTCAGTGTATTCACATTTTTTACTCAGTATACCGTAAGCAATTAGGTGGGCCCAAAATGCGTGCCGGCCACCATAGTTTTTACATTATTGATGAAACTCAAATAGGTTAGGCAGCACTGTAACGTACATAGCTTGTGGGAGACTCGTTCAGGATTTCTATCCACTATCCACCTCAAGCGTTAATGCTCGGAGCTGTATAGGTGGCGCCACCATAAGTGAAAGTTGGCGAAAAGTGAATGTGCGCAGCTCTAGAAGCCTTGTGCGAAGTGCACGCATCTTGCTGTTTTTGCAGTCATTTTTTATTTCAGTTGAATATTTTCCCAGCCAGCCCTGCTGCGCTTGTTAGCCATGATGTTTGTTGTGTCTACTGTTTAATTTCATTAGTTTGGAAATGACAGGACCATTTTTTATCACCGCGTGTTGTTTCTTACGCGAACGCGTCTGAACTGTTGTTTCTGTGACCCGTTAACAGACACAATAAAATAACATTTGCATGTGAAAAGCCCATCTAGTCTTGTTTTTCTAGTGACTCTAGCTGCAGACTGCTCATTGCGTTGTCTGTTATGGGGCGAATACGATGAACGCTGTGAAAACCTTGACAAGAGACGAATTTTGTTGCCCCGAGCCCGTATTGAAGAGCAAGTACGGCACCTTTGTCGAATGAATGCGAGTGCTGACATGCCAGCAATAAAATTCTGGAGCAAAATATAGACCTACCGGGATGGATCAGGTGTTAATCTTATGCTAGACATCGCAGACAGGGCTCAGACGCAGAAGCGGAGTGATGTTTTCTGTTGTGCCGCTTACACGACTTAAGGAATCGAATGTGGCTTAAACTTAACGACTTAAGGAATCGAATGTGGCACGAACTTCACGCGATAATCAAGATCAAATTTGAACTACGTCTGAAAGCTGTTACATGCTCTACTATAACATGACTAAATAAACTGCACTACATTTACTGCGAAATATGAAGTATTTTGCTCACTCTACATCAACAGTGCTGCGAAGCATGCTGGAAAAAATGAACTCGAATATGTGTACTTGACTGTCAGTGCAGTATTACTACGAATTTCTATAGTCTTAATGCCTCCTCGATGTCACCTGATCTTTTCTTTTATTCTATTTTGATCTGATAAACATTGCTTTGATGTATATTTTTGTATTTTAGGTGTCACAACGGAGTGATTATTTAGCGAACCTGAAATCACGTTTGGCTACTTTTCTGGCTCCAAAATGAAATAATGGCGGCCAGCTGGCTACTGATCTGGTTACTTTGGTTTATTTTGTGGCTCTTTTTCTGACAGCCCCGTCAGACGGGGACCTTTTTCTATGGCCAGGGTTGATTTGGATCAGACTTCTTGACAGCGATAACAAGTTCATGACTACTACATGGTACAGCCTAACCTGAATTGAGTTTGGTACAGACATCAGCCAAATCACAATTATGGAACCAGATCACGATGGTCGTGATCACAGTTGGGCCTGATATCGATTGATTAACTCTTTGGAGGACAGTGGCACAAATGTGTACCACATTTTCACTAGGTGTACTAGTTTCTAATGTGCACCACTTTCTCAACTTGTTGCCGTCGACCAAAGTTTAGAAGAAGGCTATTTCAAGTTCCTCATTCGCTACGACATCTGGCGCAAACGGCAAATGGTATTTTGTACATGCCTTGATTACTCTTTGCTATCTGCTTCAGTGGCTTAGATTAATGCCTTGAAGACATCACTTTAACATGTCTGAGAGTGTCCTATTTTACACATTTACTAAATAGAACTTAGACATTCACTTGCAACAAAGACAGATGTCTGCTGCCCTCATAATTTAGTTTTCTTGAATAAATCATTTTTGGGCTTGATTTTGGCTGATGGTGTTAGCCTTTATAGGGCAGCCATCACACTACTACAGTTTCACATAGGCAGCATTTCCATGTTCATTATAGCAGAGGTTTTATCTGAACAAGCGGCATCCATCGCAGTCTACTTTAGGTGCATATATTTACTGTAGTCGCGAAATCCCATTGGCTCATGCATACCTGTCACAAGTTACCTCCGTGTGTGCTCAGCATAAAAGTAAAGTAGCTATCTATATAGCAAATACCAAGTTCCACCGTGCATTGAATGCTTAAAACAGTTGGAAAAGTAAACCGCATGATTAAGTTTATTATTAATTTCAAAAATATATTTTTTTTTCTTTTATACTGGCTAAGGACTGCGGTGCATCTATGTACCACTTTTTATACCACACTATAAAGAGAGTGGTGCCATATTTTTATCCAAACCTTTTTTTGTTGACTACCTTGAAAATCGTGTGTCAAACATTTTGCTAAGTCGTTTCAAATGCTGTTCCATCAATTTTAAGTAAAAAAAATTTTAGTTAGCAGATAGTGTCTCACAGAGGGTTAAAGGTGATCATGTTGCAGCAACTGATGCAGATCAACTTGAATCCTGGTCTGCCCTGATCACAATAAAAATTGCCCATGTGACGGCAGTAATACATAAACCTTCAATATATTTTATATAAAAAAGAGACAAAACGCAAGATTTTCTATCAGAATCTTTGCAATACCTGGCAATAAAAAAGGACTTTATTACAATTTTTAAGTTACCTTCCTGCTAATATGTGTTTGATGGAAGTGCTTAAGACAACATGCAAAATGTATGGAAATAAGCAGGATGATGTTTTTCACCGTTCTTACATCAGAGGAAATAGTGCATGAAAATTCCCTTCAAAACTATGCTTCTTTTCCGCCAGCCTGCTCCAATGTTTTGAATGAGAAATATATACATAAGTGGCAAACATTTAGTGCTGTATCATATATGATACAGTAAGCTTTTGTGGAGAACGATATCTTTCTGGTTATGAGAAAACAGAGGTTGGGACAAAATGTTTTCAAGAGTTGCATACTGTTTATTGTGATAATAACTGTGATGAATATGCCTTGATATCAAAATGCTAGCAATATTTAGAGTACACCAAGGATGAGGCTGATCCTGTTTTAAGAACTATAATATGAAAAATTATAGAACATGGAATGTCGCTGGGGTCACCATTCCGACAAGAGGACAACTTATTCTCATCAGGACAGTTGCCACAAAGAAGATAAGTATTGCTGTCAAAACAGTTGGCTTCAGTGACATCTTGTTCAATGATTTTTCATCAGTTCAGGCCTGCACCTTCCTGTGAACTTCTCTCCTGTTTAAGCTTTGCGTTGGAGCTTCTCTTAAAGAAGAAGCAAGAAGAAGCTCCCAAGTAATGAAGAAGATAGAAGGCACTCTTTTTACCTGCATTAAGCTCCTGACAACTACATATAGTAACACTACACACACACGGGCATCTACAGAACTTTATGCGCGGTGGTGCATCCATAGGGGGTGGGGGTGGGGGTGGTGGATATTTCACTGCTTGACATGACCATCAAGATTTGTCAATGCTAAGTGAGCTGGCAATCCTGAAGACCCGTTTCACAGAGACCCTGAGAGAGCTAATCAATGTGCATAGCTCATCGCTACTGCACAGGAAAATAATATCTGAAATTCCAAAGGGTGGCAGCTGCCCCCCTTGCACCCACCTCCGGACATCTATGCGCCCATAAAATAAAGTGGACTGGGGGTTTTGATTCAGCTATAGTTTAGTCAATCAAGTACAATGCCGCCAAGTTTTAAAGAACTTTGCTTTATCTGGAACTATGAATATTGGCACCATTTTACAAAAAGTTGTAAACTTTTTCAAAGCACTATATGCATATGTTTCTATGCAAATAAACTTCCTTTCTTTAAAATGACAAAAATAATTTTCTGTGCTTTAACATTGCAACATGGTGATATAATCCTAAAACATGCTGTAGTGAGCATCATTGGACTAAATTTTTGCCTTTTGCCCCCATTGGAACATGGACAGGACACGGCCTTTTTCCTCATAAAAGTAACTCTATGGCTTTCATCATTATCAATAGCAGCAGGCTACCTTATGTCCACAGCAGGGCAAAGGCCTCCCTCAATAACCTCCAACACAGCTGGTCCTTCAAAAGCCGATTCCATTTTATGCCTGCAAATTTCTTCTTTTCCTCGCTGCACCTAACCCTTTGCTATTCTTGGCCATGCTTTCCCATCTGTTAGTATTCATTTCACTGCCTTATCTGACTATGCGTCTGTCCTTCTAATGGCGTGACCTGCCCAGCTGCATTTCTTTTTCCTTATGTCCCCTAAGATATCAGCTGCCCCTCTGATCCACCCTGCTGAACTGCTATGGTGTCATTAAATTGTATCTTTTAGACACACACCTATGTTTTTTTTTTTTATTCAATCACATGCTGGGTGGTCTTTGATTTCGTGGGTTTCTTCAGAATTATTCAGGCTTCTGCCCCATATGTTCAAACCGGCAAAATACAGTGGCTGTGCACTTTCTGCTTGAGTGAAAGACGCATGTTACCATCCGTTGTTTGTATAGCTATTCCTGGCCAGGGCAATGCCTTGAATAATTTCTTTATAAGCCACCTAAAATGCACGCACTTATAAGTAAGATTATCAATCTAATGGCACCATTCAATCATATATCTGATGCTGCACTGAGTGTTCGGCTTTCTGACATAAGTTAACAGCTGCACACACACAAGCCCAATTTGGCACTTCGTATGGCACATATTCCACTTAACTTTGATCCACTCGTCCATATAAAAAAACCCACTTGTAACGGGCTGCAAAAATGATGGGCCATTAAAGTGCTGCGTCGTTACCTTACCTGCTTCGCAAGGCGTGCAGTTCTGTGCTTTCGGTTGTACTGTGGACATGCCCGGTGGGCAAGGCTCGCAAGATGGACAGCCCGCGTCCCTGGAATTGTTACGCATTCAGATACACCTTATGATGCAAACAAATCCATCACTTACTTGCAGAACGTTCCAATAATGCACGGCTCACAGAGTCTGTTGGTGGCATTTCCGGCTGCTTGTTTGGGACAGTGGCCTCGGATAGGGCAACAATTGCACGCTGCAGGCGAAAACCGCAAATTATTACCCACAGATGCCCACACTATTCCGTGTCAAAACTAGGTGCTGTCCTATAAGGCTTGCATTGCTTTTTCACCTGAGCTTGCGAACGTCCCTGGAACACATGCTTCACATTCGCTTGTGCAGTTAGTCGCACTGGTGCCGATAACGTGACTAGTACAAGCTGAAAGTGTGCAAAACAAACATATTTAGCGGGCATCGCTACGGGCTACACGTGATTATCGATCAAACAAACAAACGGAAAGAACAAAGCATGCGGGTGATCGGCCGGTAATCGGCGCGTGATGCCCAAGTGGGAGCGCACGCTTATTGTGACGTGCCTCTCGGCGACGAACTTACCAAGCAGTATAATATTTGCGGCAATTCCAAACGAGAAATGATGCACCGACGGTGGAATCTTGCCCTGAGTCGACACCTTCATACTACATTCACGGGCGGATACTAGCTAGGTAATCAAACAGTTGAAACACAAGCAATAAACACGTTAACAGTCCTTGCACGATGGAAGTTCGTACGGCGCAGTGCCTCCTTCATCCTACCTTGAAGCGCAGAAACGAGACTCGGGAACAAACTTCATCTTCTCTTGCTGGTGCGGACTCGCAGCGTAGACCGCGTAAACGCCGGCAGCTTTTTTAGCGACGAGCGACAAACCTTTGTTGCGTACGGATTGCACGACGGCTGGACGAAAACACAGCCAATTGGTCAGAACCTCGGATCAGTCTCCGCCTCCACACAGCTGATGCAAAATGCAGAGGTCTGAAAAAGCACCACTCGCATGAATGTGTAGCTTCAGTGATTGAAGCGATGCATTCATTAAAATCTCAGAGGCGCAACAAACTACAAAAAGGCGGCGCGCGATCAGTAGACGCGTAGCGGTAGAGATGTTGGTGAGGAAGCAGTGCGCCACAAGAAATACGTTAACCTTTTATTCGTTTCATTTTCGCTTGTTTTGGTTGTTAGAGGAGTTGACATAACTGTTATAGACATCACTAATTTTTTTTGTTTTCTTTTTCTAATCAATCTTAGGTAACTTGAGTTGCGGGTACTGTGGGTGTGGGCCACGGGCAAGAACACGAGCCACCTTGTAGTGACGTTGTACACGTGGCGAACAGGGTAGGCGGTAGTTTTGAACAACTTCAGTGTACCCCTATAATTATACTCCAGGAAACGAAAGTAATGAACAAAAACCTCGGAAGAGCACAGCGCTTCGAGAGAGGTAATATTGCACTGGATGAAGAGATAACTTGCCGTGAGCAGGAATCGAACCTTCGAATAACGCATTCGATGCTCTAACCTCTAAGCTATCACGGCGGTCATCCCCCCATACACTTTTTTGGGTTTATATGTGAATTTAAACGTGGGAGTGTCAGTAAGAGCCATCTGTAGCCAAGCGGCGAGAGTGGAACACCCGTTTATGAGCCTGTGTGGCGTCACGTAGCACGTGAACTTATTACGAGTGGGCAGCTGACCAATAGTCCCCCGTATACAACCTAACGGCACCAAGTGTGCCACTACGAGACCCTCGTTAATGAATAAGGGAAAGAAGTGTATACCTAAGGGCTCGTTTATCCGTGTTTTTGACACAATAATAATGAGATCTAACAGACAATAATGCCAATGAATGTATAGAGGAAGCTATTAGAACTTATTAGAACCCACTATTCTTTCTTCTTATTTACTTACATTGGTTCTAATGACTTCCCCTATACATTCCTTGGCATTATTGTCTGCTTAATATATATATATATATATATATATATATATATATATATATATATATATATATATATATATATATATATATATATATATATATATATATATATATATATATATATATATATATCATCAGCCTGACAACGTCCACTGCAGGACCTCTCCCATGTTTCGCCAGTTAACTCGGTCCTGTGCTTGCTGCTGCCAATTTATACCCGCTAACTTCTTAATCTCATCTGCCCACCAAACCTTCTCTCTCCCCCTCACCCGCTTGCCTTCTCTGGGAATCCAGTTAGTTACCCTTAATGACCAGTGGTTATCATGTCTACGCGCTGCATGCCCGGCCCATGTCCATTTCCTCTTCTTGATTGCAACTATGATATCCTTAACCCCCGGTTGTTCCCTAATCCACTCTGCCCACTTCTTGTCTCTTAAGGTTACAGCTACCATTTTTCTTTCCATTGCTCGCTGCATCGTCCTCAATTTAAGCTGAACCCTCTTTGTAAGTCTACAGGTTTCTGCTCCGTAGCTAAGTACTGGCAAGATACAGCTGTTATATACCTTCCTCTTGAGGGATAGTGGCAATCTACCTGTCATAATTTGAGAGCGCTTGCCAAGTGTGCCCCACCCCATTTTCATTCTTCTAGTTACTTCGATTTCGTGGTTCGGTTCCGCGGTCATTACCTGACCTATAGACATTGTCTTTTACAACTTGAAGTGCACTATTACCTATCTCGAAGCGCTGCTTCTTTCCGAGGTTGTTGTACATTGCTTTCGTTTTCTGCCGATTAATTTTTACGGTCCACCTTTCTGCTCTCCTTGTCTAACTCCATAATCATGAGTTGCAATTCGTCCCCTGAGTTACCTAGCAATGCAATGTCATCCGCGAAGCGCAGGTTACTACACAGTAAAAATTTTTGCACCCAAAAGGGTGTAAAAAAGGTGCTTTTACGAGAAAGCACCCTTTGCAACACCCTTTAACACCCATAAATGGTCGATTGAAAAAAAAGCACCCCTTTGTTTGGGTGCTTGCCTCGATAGCACCCTAAAATAGGCTCTAAGGGTGCTTTTGTGCTTGAGAAGGGTGTAGGTGCCGATTCATCAGATGGAATATGCAGCATAAGAAGAACACATAATTATAATATTTGGGATTTTACGTCTCAAAAACCTCGATATGATTATGAGGGCCATCGTAGTGGAAAGCTGCAGAGATTTTCACCATTTGGTGTTCTTTAATGAGCGCTCGTATCGCACAGTGCAAAGGCTTCTACCTTTTCGCCTCCGCCTTAATTCGACTGCCACGGCCGGCATCGAACCCGCGACCTTCGAATTGGCGGCCGAGCAGCACAGCTACTGCACGAATATCCCGCAGGGCGCGGGTTCGAATCCCGGCTGCGGCGGCTGCATTTCCGATGGAGGCGGAAATGTTGTAGGCCCGTGTGCTCAGATTTGGGTGCACGTTAAAGAACCCCAGGTGGTCTAAATTTCCGGAGCCCTCCACTACGGCGTCTCTCATAATCATATAGTGGTTTTGGGACGTTAAACTCCACATATCAATCAATCATTACTGCACGAATATGTGGACCTTGCGTTAAATGACGGCCTAATTGACTTAGAATGTGTGAAGGTGCTCTCCAAATACAGCAGAATGTCAGCAGAAGCAAATCGCGTTTCATCTATAATGGCAATTAACTGCAATCCATGTTACGAAAGCTTTCCTTAGCGTTGGTTATAAGCTGCATGTTTGCTATGGATTATATACACACAAATAATGTTCGCCCGAGTATGGGTGTGTGTGCGTGTAAGCGCGATTGTGTGTACACCCGTGCATGTGTGCGTGAGCGTGTATGTGCGAGTCCGTGCTTGTGTTAAGCGTGCCTGTGCACATGTGTACGCCCATGCATGCGTGCGTTTACGGTCGCGTGTGTGTGTGGCCGCTTGTGTGTATACGTGTATATGTGTGCGCCTGTGAATAAGTATGCGTGTGTATCAGCCCGTGCGCCCTCGAATTTCGTGTGTGTGTGTGTGTGCGGGGGGGGGGAGGCACTGCTTCTTATTGTTTAAGGTCCCACACCTGTTGAGACTGGGAGCCTATATGGGAGGTGGCTTAAGGAATGGCGGTGGTCAACGCACTGTACACGGACTATTCAGTACATGGAAAACAGCTGCACATTTTCGTACCTGATCGTTGCTTACGAACTTGCTGTGGTAGCTGATTAGGTCCGCTGAGGTGCTTCTACGCCCGAAAACGTGGGTTATGACCAATTCCCACGGAAAGCTGTCACTGCACTTATGCACAACCATCGTTTATATTAACAACGTTTAACAAGAACGTGCCGTGCCTTTGCTACAGGTGCTTAGCTAGCTCATTGGGTAACCATATGGAATTAAGTGATGATCATGTGGTCAGCAAAAAGTTTGTTATAACAACCTCGGCACGTTTCGTGGTGCGTGACAAGCCTTCTAAACATCCGCGACTGTGGATTAATTTGTTCCAGCTTCGACTACGCATTCAGTGTTTGCGGCACCATACGCGGAAGTGCCAGACACAGACAATGCAAAAAGAAATTCCTCTGGAAAAAGGTGTAGCGATGCTCTCCCGCTAATGCCACCGAGGACGAAATAATTATTGTTTCTGGCCATTCCACGGTGCACTTTGTTTTCCGCAAGTTTTGCTTCACTATTTTTCGCCCACTGCAATCGCATTCCGCCAAAATACTCAAAGAACCCGAGGCTGGTAAATAACCTACGTCGCTGTGAGACTGGCTGGAAGGAGAGTTGCCATTTACAAGGAGTCATTCGGCGTCGAACGGCCGTCCGCCGTATGCGCCATAGCGTTTGCCTTTCGGCGCCGTCCTGGCGGGTTTCCCGCTCCGCCTCCCCCCTCCTGCTCACCCCGGCCAGCGTTGCTCCCACAACGGCGGCGTAGATAAGCGAATAGTTGCGTCACCGAACACCTGCGTCGACAGCTGCGGCGTCGCCGCTCCTTCTCTCTCTCAACGTCGCTCTCTCTGTCTCATCGTCTTTCAAATGCGTTGCGTTGGTCTGGGGTCTTGGTCGCTGTGTGTGTTCTAGCGAACAGGCGCATATTCAATGGTGGTCACGCATGACACCGTGTTCGAAGTGACGCTCGGATTAAGGAATATTCATGGAGTGGCGGACACGGACAACGTGGGCCTGTTAACGGTGAGTGTACTGTTTTCGTAGGTAGTAATCATACAGCGCTAGCTGGGCGCCTGCAGCAGCTCTGCCGAAGTAGGCTGCCAGCCATTTACAACAGCATGCGTTCGCGGGCCTGTTGCAGATGCCCGATTAAACGTGTGACTTAACGAATTCACACTGCTATGCGCGATGTTGTGTAAGTTCCTGGATCACTCATACAGTGAGTGATGTGATCACTTAACAAGGGCGGGATTAGTTGCTGATCGCACATTGTCTCTACACTGCACAAAGTGATTGATATTGTTTTAAGATGTGCTTTGGGCTACATCGTAATAACATTTCTAATAATACTCAAATGTGCAACGTGCTTCTGTAGGTGTAAGCGTAAAAAAAGAAAGAAAAAGCAAAAATTATGTACAGAGACGCACTGCACGAAATGGCTTTTTTTTTTTTTTGCTTAAAGACGGTATAGTTCGAGGCGCTGATATGCCGCGATGCTCCCAGCACGTGCGCCTCGGTCTTTTAAGCTATTTAGGACAAGTGCCACCAGCAACAGGGAAAGATCTAGCAGACTTCCAAAGGCGCGTTGTTGTGGCCATCGCCGTGCGTTGTTTTCCCTCGTTTCTGTTTGCTGTTTTCGTGCTTCGCTTTCATCTGCGATAATGTTCGGCGTTATAACAGATTCGAGAGAGTATACGTGACTGTTGGAGCTATGTGTGGTTGCTCTAGCATAAGCCATGGCTGCTGCAACGTAGTCGGCGTCCGCGCGCGTTGGTGTCGTTCGAGCGCTCTTACTTGCGTGATTGTGTTTAACTGAGTATTTAGGCACGGATTGCGTTTGTAAATCCCGTAGTCAATAATCGCTAA